GCATTTACCAATACAATCTCTTCCTTTTTCTTATTGTGCTCTCTCTTTGGATAAGAATTTGTTATCCTTGTTTTTATCTTTAAAGAATAGGTTGGAAACTCGCTTGTATTCTTCGTATGTAGAACACATTCAAAGTCATACTCTCTTTTCTAATGCCTTGACTGAAGGAAATCAGAAGGCAGATGAATCCTTAAAGGATGTTATTTCTCATTGCCGATCCTATTTTGCTGTAATGGTTTGGCCTTCTCAGTTGAAAACTGATAATGGTCCAGCTTATATTAATAAGGAATTTCAAACCTTTTGTCAGAAATGGAATATTACCTTAGTGCACGGAATTCCTTACAACTCTCAGGGTCAAGCTATAGTTGAGCAAGCTCATCATACTTTTAAGGCATTGCTTCAAAAATAATTACAAACTGAGTCTGGCCCTTACCATCTGCGAAAGATTCAAAATCTCATTGCTGTAGCATTATATACTTGGAATTATTTAACCTTTTTAGATTCTCTTGCAGACTCACCTGTTAATTTACATTTTCAAACTACTGAATCTTTAGCAAGGCCTTTGGTAAAGTATCGCCAAGCTCCAGATCCAACCTGGAAAGGCCCTACACTGCTGATCAGCTGGGGTTGTGGTTACGCTGCCATGGAAGATCCTTCTACTGGACAAGCAGTGTGGGTTCCAGCACGCTGTGTTTGTCCATATCATGGCATGGCATCAGGGCCTTCACAACCTGATTCCAGATTTCAATCTTCATCGGAACACAGAAGTTCGGCTTCCAAGGTCTAAGTGCCCGCAACCCATCACTTGGGGACAGGTTAAATCTACTACATATCAAGCTCAACAACAACTGCAACAGGCCTCATTACCTCAGACTCCTGAAAATCTTGTTGCTGCTGTTTTTGTTATTATTACTGCTAATTCTGTTGCAATTTTACTTTGTATTTTCTTGTTTATGGTTAATGGTGTTTCTGCTCAAAATGACACTTCTGTGGTTTGTCTTAATCCTAATTTGTGGGTTCATCATGCACAATATATGTTTATGACCCATGGCACAAATATTACTTTATACTATGTGCCCCCAATGGCATTTGGTCAAATTTCTTTTACCCCTAACTTGATCATGTCTTCTACATTTATTGTCTCACAACTACAATCTATTTCACACTCCTGGCTATTTTCTAAACCCCCAATGCAATTGAATTCTGTCTGTTGGCGTTACTTGAAAGTTAGTCAATTTACAAGGGGTCTGTGTTTCTGTTGTCAAGCTAAACACACGTGGCTTTATAATTGGTTTGATTATGATGCTGCTCAGCACATATAAAAAAAACTAGGGAATTATAGTTATTGTTCTAACTACTATTGGTTGTCAGGTACCTTTAATTCTTCTTTGTATGGAATTAATATAGCTCCTGATATGTATCCTGACAATTTTCCTATTTTTAATGCCTCTGATCAATCTAATACAGGATCGATATGCGCTGGATGGCAGCTTAAAGATCCTAATATGTGGTTCTTTTTTGATAAACATGCCACCAATGTGCATCCTCAGCATTATCAATGTGCAGCTATAGGTTATTTTACTCTACCTGTTCAAATAGGTACGCTCCCATCAACTCGACAGCAGCATTCCTCTCTGGGGCCTACATGTAATGATGAAGTTATTATTGACACACAATTGTCTTCTGGTTCTACATTTGGACGTGCATTGGCAGGGGCCGTTACAGGAGTCATTACTCTAGGCTCTTATCCTGGCATAATTGCTCAAGAAAACAGATGATCTATTCTTGGTCTCACCTGCAGACTTGAAAAATCCATCAATGCTACTGCTGCTATTATTCGTGATTTCCAGCATGAAATAGAAGATTTAAATCAAGATGTCTTACAGCAACTTTTTGCCATAGACTATCTTTTAGACCATCAAGGCGGGTTCTGACACCGTGGATGTGCTGTGCATTTTCATTCATTGAATAAAACTATTGAGGATGAACTTGTCAATTTACAATCCTACATTCAAAATAATATCCATGCTCAGTACTCACCTTCTGAGTGGCTAACCAATTGGCTCCCAGATTGGTCTTGGCTCAGACAGTTTTTCTTTTATGTTATAATTATTATTATTGTACTAATTGTAACCTGTTGTTTTATTCAATGTATTCTAAATTTATTTGCATTGTTTCATCCTGCTTTCCTCTCTCTTAATCCTCTACAATTGAGATACATTCATAAATCTTTGAAACCTCCATTTAAAATAAAAAACGAGGATATGTAGAGTTGTAATTGCAGGAAGGTGATTATCTTGATGGCAAACCTCAGATAAGGACAAAAGCAAATACAACTCAGACAAACAAAATCACTAATGCAAAGAAGGATTAGAGAGAGGAAGTAAACATGTGTTAGACTTTAACTAGAGATAATTGTGTTAATTACTATGCTAGACAGTAACAAAGGTTGAGCAACAACCAAAGTTAACCAATGTTAGAGGATTACTAAAAATGTGTATAAATACAAGACTAGACTCCAATAAAGTCATCATGATTCATGTGATCATGATCAAACACCTCAACTGCCTCGTCATTGCAACAAACAACTAGACACAAGAACAGTTTTTTTTCTTGAAAGCCATCACTCTGCTAAACAAATAATTCCCACAACACTGTTCAATTATTACAGTCTGCACTACTATTACTGTTAATCTTGTCATCGCTCCTTATCAACCATCCCCTCCCACTTGTGACTGTATGATTGTAACTTTGTTGCTTGTATACTTACAATTTATATTGACTGTTTCCTAGTATGATTTGATTGCTTATTGTACCCTATGACTATCCTTAAGTGTCATCTCGACTCTTGGCGAATATATCTTTTCTTTTATGTACCAGTAAAACTCAAAAAATTAGAATATCGTGCAAAAGTCCATTTATTTCAGTAATGCAACTTAAAAGGTGAACCTAATATATGAGACAGACTCATTACATGCAAAGCAAGATAGTTCAAGCTGTGATGTGTCATAATTGAGATGATTATGGCTTACAGTTCATGAAAACCCCAAATCCACAATCTCAGAAAATTAGAATATTGTGAAAAGGTTCAATATTCTAGGCTCAATGTGTCCCACTCTAATCAGCTAATGAAGCCATAACACCTGCAAAGGGTTCCTGAGCCTTTAAATTGTCTCTCAGTCTGGTTCAGTAGGAATCACAATCATGGGAAAGACTGCTGACCTGACAGTTCTGCAGAAAACCATCATTGACACCATAAGGAGGGAAAGCCTCAAAAGGTAATTGCAAATGAAGTTGGATGTTCCCAAAGTGCTGTATCAAAGCACATTAATAGAAAGTTATGTGGAAGAGAAAAGTGTGGAAGAAAAAGGTGCACAAGCAGCAGGGATGACAGCAGCCTGGAGAGGATTGTCAGGAAAAGGCCATTCAAAAGTGTTGGGGACTTTCACAAGGAGTGGACGGAGGCTGGAATCAGTGCAGCAATAGCCACCACACACAGACTGATCCTGGACATGGGCTTCAAATGCCATATTCCTCTTGTCAAGCCGCTACTGAACAATGTCAGAAGCGTCTTACCTGGGCTAAAGAAAAACAGACCTGGTCTGTTGCTCAGTGGTCCAAAGTCCTCTTTTCTGATGAGAGCAACTTTTGCATCTCATTTGGAAACCAAGGACCCAGAGTCTGGAGGAAGAATGGAGAGGCACACACGACAAGATGCTTGAAGTCCAGGGTGAAGTCTCCACAGTCTGTGTTGATTTGGGGAGCCATGTCATCTGCTGGTGTTGGTCCACTGTGCTTCATTAAGTCCAGGGTCAATGCAGCCGTCTACCAGGAGATTTTGGAGCACTTCATGTTTCCTTCCACAGACAAGCTTTATGGGGATGCTGACTTCATTTTCCAGCAGGATTTGGCACCTGCCCACACTGCCAAAAGCACGAAAACCTGGTTCAGTAACCATGGGATTACTGTGCTTAATTGGCCAGCAAACTCGCCTGATCTGAACCCCATAGAGAATCTATGGGGCATTGCCAAGAGAAAGATGAGGGACATGAGATTGAATAATGCAGAAGAGCTGAAGGCCGCTATTGAAGCATCCTGGTCTTCCATAACACCTCAGCAGTGCCACAGGCTGATAGCTTCCAGGCTGCATTGAGGCAGTAATTGCTGCAAAAGGGGCCCAAACCAAGTACTGAGTACATATGCATGCTTATACTTTTCAGAGGTCCAATATTGTTCTATGTACAATCCTTGTTTTATTGATTGCATGTAATATTCTAATTTTCTGAGATTGTGGATCTGGGGTTTTCATGAGCTGTAAGCCATAATCATCTCAATTATGACAAATCACAGCTTGAACTATCTTGCTTTGCATGTAATGAGTCTATCTCATATATTAGTTTCACCTTTTAAGTTGCATTACTGAAATAAATGGACTTTTGCACAATATTCTAATTTTTCGAGTTTCACCTGTATACTGAGAGTATTTACACCAAGACAAATTCCTTGTGTGTCCAATCACACTTGGCCAATAAAGTATTCTATCCATCTTCTTAAAAGCACAATATTCCACATTGTAGCATTCATTATGTAGCACTGCAGAAATGGAACCCTAAGGAAATCTGGAAAGCCACATCTCCATTTCTGGTCTATTGACTTTCCAAAGACTGAAGCACTTTAAATTATAACCAGTGGAGTTTATATTGCTATTTGATTATAAAACTTTCAATCTTAAAAGGTTGGAGTATATGTTTCCTTTTCAGTCTTATGTTGAAACATAAGTGATGCTTATTCAACCATGCATGTTATGTTAATATGAAATTCGCAGGATATTTCAACAATGGTGAGATTCAGATCAGCCTACAGAGGAAGAGCTAGATATTGTGTAGCTTTTTTGTACATTAAGCCACCCAGGGTTACCTTATAGCAGAGATGGCTGGCATAAACATTTAATAAATAAAAATAAATATGTAAATATTTCAGCACTAAACACAAAACATGTATTTACTGATGCATATATATATATTCATGGGGAAACCTACCTTATAAAAGAAATTTGTTTCCCTGCAATATCAGAAAAAATGAATTGGACTAGATTCACAAATCATTGTGTCAATTAAGAAATGTAGTCTTTGGCAATTAAATGCATATTTATGTACAAATAGCCATAAACACGTAAGTAGTATCATCATCCTTCAGTCTTTTAGAACTGTGCCTACATGGCTGACTTATGCATCTAAACCCTGATGCTATTAAAATGCGCCATCCAAATTGGGACGCACAACTGAGATGCCATGAATCAGCTTTGGTAGAACAACTGGTAGACTTTCTCTTGTTTGGGTTAATTGAATAGGAACATATTTGAGTTTAGGTGGCGGCCGTGGTATTCTGTAACACAAAGAAGAAAGATCCAAAATTCCTTCTTGATTCAAACTCCAGGAATCGTAGACTTCAGCTGTAGGGCATGGATGTGGAGGATGTACCATCTTCATGAGTTTGGGCTCCATCACAAGTTTCAATAGATCTTTCTTAAACATTTCCCAGGCATTCTGTCGAAGGAAGATCTGACACAGCTCATCATCACTGAAAAGTGAAAGCAATATTAAAAACTGGATTCCTCTTTTAAGTAGCAGATTATCTGGAATATTTTCAGTCTTTCTATTTCTAAGTGTCCAAGTATTGTTTCTCTACATTTGAATGAATTCATCAGACATGATTATCACATCCCACCAGCATCTTTCCTTCTTCCCTGAAGTATTTAGAAAGTCATTATGACTCTCCTTGTTTCTTTTGGTTGAAGCTTCTTATCTCTTCTTACGATGCCTGACTTGTATTTGTAGGTTGAGATATGGCATGCATGCAAGATCTAATTTGAATCGGTCTCCGGGACCAGAGCTTTCAAACTCATGCTGGAGCCCACTCCCAGGGAATTTCTCTTTATTGGAATACTAGCTCAATACCCATGCTTTGCTACAAAGCTATGTGGTTGGGCTTAGTTTTGGGGGAGGAAAATAAGGGGGGGGGATCTTCCTCTGATTACCAGCATCCATGGGTATTCATCTGGCTAGCATCTGGCTAGCACTTCCAAACAGTGAGGGCTGTTTGGAAACTGAAACAGTATTTGTTGTGTGAGCAAGGAGACGGCAAGGAGCCTGGTCATGGCTTAGTTCAACTATTCTGTACTAAAGCTGCTTGGTGCTGTGAAACTAAAACTCCTCTCCTCTGCTTGTGTTTTGCATTTGGAACAGATATCTTTTCAGGTGGACAAGGGAAGTAGAACTTCTTAGTATCAGAGCGTGTTAATAATAATATTCAAAATACTAATGCTCTGATGGTCATTTAGAAAAATCCTTTCTTAGTGAACACCTAGAAGCCAAGAGGAACATATGTGGCGAATTTCAAGATTTGTATGCTTTACAGTTCTAGAGATTTTGTGATGAGGCGTGAGTGGAGATGTGCTTTGGGCTCCAGTTCCCTGAAGATTGGCTCCAGCATGAGTCTGAAAGCTTGGAAGAGTAAACTTCTGATCCCAGTAACTAACCCATATTGGATTTTGCAACATTATCCTGGGACACATATTTGCCTTCGTTTATTGGCATGTATGTCTACATTCATTATGTCCCTGGAGAGAGCACTTTAGATACTGTTCTTTGTCTCTACACTTTATCTTCTTCCTGTTCTTGACAATCAAGTACCTTTGCATGATAGGGAGGAAAGGGAAAGTTAAAGTGCTCATTGGGATTTGATATACAAAAAGTGCTGAAGCTGAGTCAGCTGGATTCCAGTCTGACAGTTCATGGTTTCCCACCCAGTGTATGTCTTTAAGAGATTCCACAATGCCGGACACACAATTTTCTGTTACAAGGGTGAGAATCCTTCTTCTATTAATCAACTCTAAAAACTCCATCAGGGCCCTTGCTCCTTGCAACCACCATACTAAAATTGCTTTCACAGTATACAGACCCTCTTGAACATTCAGAGATACTCATAATTATTCAGTAATAATTATTCAGTATTTTGAAAAGAAAGTATTCATGGCTAGAGTTGCTGCTTAAAGTCTTAATGCTTTAAAACTGGTTTGGGATATATTCTGAAAAATTTGGGAAGGGTAAAAGATATGGTCAAGAAATTTGGTATTTGGAGGATAAGGAGACCAGTAATGTAACACCACCTTTTCTATCTTTTGCTTTCATACCCACCCAGTTGTTCTCTAGCTTACTTGTATTATAGGGCTGCTAATAAATGCTTACTTGGATTCAGAATTATGAAGTACATCTATAATAGAGACTTAGATCCTGGAGGAGAATGAGGAAATTACATTTACACAGTTATCTTTAGATCACTGGTTTAGGTCAGGAAGCCCTTTAGAAGAGAAGTAGCTTTTGAGAAAACCCATGTGTAGCTGTGGGTATATGGAACATTTTTGTTAAAAAGAAAAAGAAAAAAGAACTGACCACTTTGTCTATTTTCAAATATGACTTAATTGTTTTCCTTGGAAAGGACAAACATGAGCCACTAACCAGCCTTCATCTTTTCAAGAATTTTCTGAGTGAAAACATCTGATGAAGAATATTAAGGAGACTCTAGTGATTCCAATTCTCCCTATAAACCAAAGGATTTCCAATTCCAGAATGACAAAAAGTATATATTACTAGTATTAATAGCATCAGTAACACTATAGGTAGTCCTCAAGGTAAGAACCTAATGGAACCTGCCAATTAGGTTGGTAAGTCAAAAAATTTGTCAAAGGAATCAGACTCAATTTTACCAATGTTTAAAATCAAATTCATTACTTCAATCAAATGGATCATTAAATGAACGAAGATCTGACTATTTCCTCTGATTCATTAATTGATTGCTGTCATCGTTAACTGAATTGAGAGGCTTTCCTGCTGGTCTGACCATCAGCTATTTCCAGTGCAGCCTTCAGCTGAGGAACTAAATTGCTTCCAAGCAGGCTGGCAGAGCTCTCTGTTTACAGTTGCTTTAAAAAAAAACAAAACCATTTGCTGTTAGTCAGCTCAAGCTTCTTCAAACAGCTGCCCAAAAGAGGGTGGGGTGGTAATTTATAGAACTCTCCTATTGCAGTTGCTTTTTTAAAAAAAATCACTTGTCACCAATTAGCTTAAGAGTCTCCAGCCAGGCACCCAGAGGGAGATGGTGGAGGGATTTACAGAACTCTGGGTTTGCAACAGTAACAGAGATAGAAGGGACCTTGAGGTCATCTAATCTAACCCACTGCTCTCACAAGAGAATATTTCTGATTAATGCCTATCCAGTCAGCTTCCAGTGATAGAGTACCCACAACTTCTGGAGGCAATTTAAATTAAAAACCCATAGGCTACAGTCATATACATTTAACAAGAGCCATAGTGGTGGTTAGAATGCAGTACCGCAGGCTACTTCTGCTGACTGCCAGCTGCCAGCAGTTCGAATCTTACCAAGCTCAAGGTTGACTCAGCCTTCCATACTTCTGAGGTGGGTAAAATGAGGACCGATTGTTGGAGCAATCTGTAAACCACTTAGAGAGGACTGTAAAGCACTATGAAGTGATATATAAGTGGAAGTGCTATTGCTAATCTCCACAATGAAAGCAAGGACAAACAACATTGCTCCCATTGCATTTCAAATTCCAAGAGGTTGGTGGGAGGAGCTGCTGGCTACTTGTGAGAAGGCAGAGGGTGAGTACAAAGGAGAAAGAGAGCAGCCCACTTGCCATTAAACCAAAAATACCAATAATACATTTAGGGTTAGTGCACTTGAGATTGTGACTTTATTTTATTTCAAAATGACTGGCTTAGTTCAGTGTAATACTTGTTTTACAGCTTTCTTTCACAGTACTCTTTTCAAATTTGGATACTGCCCTCTTTGTAAAAAAAATTACCAGTCTACATGGACAGATTACCTATGTAGAATCTCTAATCTGTGCTCTCCAAGCAGAAATTAGGTGCCCAATCCAGCCATCTATTGAGCTGCCATGCTATAAGCCCCCACTATCACAAAGATCCTACAGGAAAAGGGCAGTATGGGCAACCGTGGGATCTGGCAGGGTGAGAGCTGTGGACCATAAACACAAAGCTTTTGCTGTGTCCCAGCACAACAGATACAGTGCCCTTGCTGACCTTAATAAGGATACTAAAGTGACAGGTCAAGGTAGTTGTGATAACGATAACTCAAATAAGCCGGGGATCATGGTCCTACAAGAAGAACTTACTTTGGAAAGGAAAAAGTGTCAATCAGGTATTAAGCACCAGTCACACAAGAAGAGCAAGGCATTCAAAAAGAGAAGCCACCTTTTGGTTGGGGACTCAATTGTAAGGGATGTAAATTTAGGAAAGGATACAGAGGTTTTGAAAGAGGTCAGTTGTCTGCCAGTTGCTACTGCCAGCAGAGACAACAGGCGTATTCTTAAGATAGTCAAGAATGCCAGTAAGGACTGTGATATTGATGCTATTATACATCTTGGTACAAATGATCTGTCCCAGAAGGATGTACTTTCTGTTCAGAAAGACTTCCAGAGCTTGGGATATGAACTTAGTAATATGGGCTGTAGGCTTATCTTTTCAGAGGTTCTATCAGTATACAAGGAACAAAAACAGAAAGGCCAGCGTGTAGAGGAGTTTAATGTGTGGCTAAAGGAGTGGTGTAAAAGGGAAGGCTTTGGTTTTATTTGTCATGATGTCTGCAGCTGGTCGGATGAAAAACTATACAAAAGAGATGGTTTGCATCCATCAAAGAAAGGGACTGAGTTACTTGGCATTAAATTCACAGATTTTCTGGATAAACATTTAAACTGAACAGTGGGGACAGAGAATTAATGGATACAGAACATTTCTGTCCCCAGCAACCTAAAATTAATAAGGATACTAGTGTATGCAAAATAGATATTTATGCAGGTAAGATTATCAACCTTGCTGTCAATCAAAACCAAGCATTTAATAGTGAGTGTCATATCATGTGCATTAATCAAACAGGTGGCAAGAAAGTAGGGGCAGGCAGGCACAACACGGGTTATGTAGACAGTAAACACAGTGACAGACATAAAGATCTCAAGTGCCCATATACAAATGCACAAAGTCTGGGGAACAAACAGGGTGAACTCGAACAACGAATACATGAAGGTAAATATGATATAGTTGGAATAACAGAAACTTGGTGGGATGAAACCCATGATTGGAACATACTGGTAGAATGATACAAACTTAAAAAAAACAGACCCCATAAAAGAGGAGGTGGAGTTGCACTGTATGTAAAGGACCACTATATTGCTACAGAAATGCATGAAACCAAAGATGAAAACTTCCTAGAATGCACATGGGTCAATATAAAAGAAAAAAAGATTGACATGGCCATAGGTGTATATTATAGATCACCCAATCAAGCAGAAAAAATAGATGTCTTTTTACCAACCAACAAACATATGCAGGAAACACACAACAATAGTAATGGGAGACTTCAATTATCCTGATATCAATTGGCAAACTAATTCTGCACCAAGTGAGAAATCAAATAAGTTCCTAACCAACCTAGCTGACAACTTTGTTGTCCAAAAGGTAGAGGTGAAACTAGAGGGACAACCATAC